TATAAGAGCGTTTAGATAACTAAAGTAGTGATCTAAACGCTCTTATACTAGTTTACGGAGGGAGTACTTGTTATTAAATGGAATGGTCATAATTTTAGTTATCAATGCATTTATTACACTATAAATGTGAACTGTGGGTTAATTTTATTTTATTGGTGCGTATAATTACATGGTCACTGCAAGTTTTGGTACCAGTACTATGTTTTTTCTGTTCAGTTTTCTGAAATTTGTATGACAATTTGTATGCAAAATTTGTAGATTGCATTGTATTGTTTCAGGAGCTATATATGTGGTTGGCGTATTTTCTCCAGCTTCATCTATCTAATTCTTATGGTGAACTTCAGGTTAAAAAGTTTGGAAATCCAAGCCAAATTGGCTTAATTGTGGATGATGTTGGTGGTGCAATAGCAAAGGCTCCATGTGAAGCACAAATTGAGCTGTATGAGTCACTCATTGATGGCTGTCAGGAAGCTGTGAAAGAGAACACAGACATCAAGGTATATTTCATTGTGATGCCTTAGAGAAAATGGTCCTCCCTCCGATCCATATGTAGTCGTTTCCTTGTGCGTTATCTTCCTTTATTGAGTTCAGTTCATTGTACTTCAAATATAGGGCACAGTGTTGGATTTTTTTGGTGTACCAGTGAAGGCCTATGAGTTGTTGGCTCGTGTTGAAGAGCTTCAATGCTTGGCAAAGCGCATCGCACGTTACAAAGATCCAGTTAGACAATACCGGATCCAATCACCTTACAAAAAGCCACAGTGGTCAGCAAGCTGTGGATGGATTGAAAGTAATTGCTGTTTGACTTAGCTTCTGTAAAAATGTTTGAGAATATGAGCTCATAAATCTTTTTATATCTTTAGCTGATGATGCAAGATTGCTGCTTGGAATTCACTGGTATGGTTATGGAAACTGGGAGAAGATACGATTGGATGCAAAGCTTGGGCTGACAACAAAAATTGCACCAGCAACACTTGGTGAGAGAGAAACATTTTTACCACGCGCACCAAATTTGGATAATCGTGCTAGTGCTCTCCTGCAAAAGGTACTCTCCCTGACCTTTCATCCTCTTCCATGTGTGCGGTTGTGCTTGTTTGTATGCTGTTTATGTGCAAGTGCATCTTACGTTGCATATTCTGTATGTGAAGCGCACATCTGCATTTTCTAGAGCTAATATAAAATCGGAAGGTTGAGGTTGTCTATTTTGTTCATGTTTGGATGTCGAGTCAGATGTGATTAATTAATTATTGATGTTAAGCTAGCATCTGAACCTCTTTATGCCCTGATCCATGCTTTTGAAGTTTTCTGGTTCCACCAAGATTAGTGGTACCATTCTGCTCACAATATCCCTGTACACATACTTACTGATATGATTTTTTTTTTCAAGCAACTCGTGAGCTTTTTTTTTGCTTCACTATCAGTTCTTCTGTTTGACAGCCATTTTTTTTGAAAAATATAAATCAAAGCTTGATTTGAATTCTGTATCTTTTTCTATATGCAATAGTTGTATCTTTTGCATGTGTCCAACTTTGACAATTTAATCCATTGACAAGAAAATTCTGCTTTTCTAGGAATATGCCAATCTGAGTGGAAAGAGCTCAAAAGCCAAAGGAGGTGCTAGCCAAAAAGTCAATAATGAAAACGGTGGTGCTCGATCGTTTAAAGGCCGGCAAAAAGATGCAAAACCACAAGAGGATATTAAGTCGAACAAAGATGACATTAAGAAACGCAAGGTGGTGGAAGAAGCTGAAGCAAGAGAAGAGGGTGAAATTTCAGAGTCTGAAGAACAGATTAAATATCGTTTGGAAAAGGAGGAAAAGTGGCTGGAATGGTGCTCTGAAGCTTTGGATGAAGAGCAGGACATATTGAAACGCCTCGATAGGTTACAGAATACAAGTTTAAATCTTCCGAAGGAAAAGGTTTCTGCTTTATATCTTGATATTGACAATCTATTCTTAAAATGCTCTACTGCCACTCTAACCTTATAAGCATGTGTGCAGGTTCTTTCAAGAATTCGCCGGTACCTCCAGATAATCGGTGAAAAGATTGGAAAAGTCGCTGCCCAACATGTAGAATCGTACAAGCAGTCCCGTAAGTGTTGGTAGCTCCTACCTTTTTGTAGGAAGCATATGTGATGAATAATTTGATTGTTTTTTTTTTGAGAAAACGCAAAGGACCTTTGCGCTTTATTACATTGAAAAGATAGGGGTACAATTATAATCCTTCTAGGATTTGAGTTTTACAAAACCAACAGCCTAAGGCCGTGTTTGGAATGTCGTTTTCCTTCTAAACACACTCGTATAGAAAATACAGGTGTCCGCCCGTCGTTTTGGTTTCCGGTTGGAAATAGCTCTGGGCCGGTATTTTACACCTGTAAGTTATATACACCTGTATAAGATTACACCCATACCAAGCGCGGCCTAATCAGTGGACATCCCAGGATGGGGTCAAACAACCCTGAGCCCTTGAGCCCCAGCCTTTGCCCAGCATTGGACCTTGTCCTTGATCTTGTCCAGTAGCCCATCGACCGAAGGTCTTGCATTGTCGAAGACACACTCGTTCCTGTGCTTCCAGATCATCCATATTCTAGAGACATTCTTGAGACATTCATATTCATGAACATTCTAGAGACATTCTTTCATGAACATTGATATTCCTTTTTTTTTCCGGAACTTATATATGCTGTCAAAAGATACCTATCTAAACAATTGCATTGTTTGCAGGTATGACCACAAGATTATGGAATTATGTGGCAAGATTTTCAAATATGTCTGGGGAGCAATTGTGTGATCTCTATTTAAAAGTTTGTCAGGACCAAATGGAAGCTGGAGTCGGCCCCTCACATGGTGGCAATTTTGCACCCGCTCCTAACAGAGGTTCTTCAAATCAGCCTCATCCTCCTAGAAACCAAAGGTCAACAAGGTCTTTCCAGCACACTCCCGAGCCTCTTAATAATGGTGAAAACACTGGGAATTCGGAAGCCTGGAAGCGCCGGAGGAGAGCTGATCAGGATAATCAGTTTGACACCCAAACGATGTATCAACCTCCTCCATTTATGGCAAATGGTAACAGGTCCCAGGAATCTAGCAGTTCTGCTGGTATTCTTGGTTGGGGTCCAGTCGAAATGAGACGATATGGCACTGAAAGATCAAAGAGAGGTGTTCATCCCAGTCGTTTCCCTGCCGGGCATGGGCCTTTGCTTTAGCTGAAGTAGTCAGCTTTGTCAATTCCTAGAGTCTTCAGCTTCTATGCAGGTAGAAGTGGAGAATTGAAATTCTTTTTAGGCAAGACAAAAGAATAAGCTGTCAAAATCTTGTCTGGATCACAGCTTGGAGTCTGTGCCTTGAAGAAACGGCTGATGTGCACAGAAGATTCCTGACACTGAAACAAATACATGGGTCTTGTAAACCGCCAAGAGGAAGAGTCTTGAAAATTTTGTCGGTCCAGTTTTGTGGTCTAATAGAAGAAGAAAATTTCCGTTGGGGTCTTTAAGAAGGTTCATCTCAAACAAATGATCTATAGTTCAGTCTCAATACATGTACTGTAAAAGTACGGTCTTTTACAGTGCATTATATATAATGAAAATTTGGTTTAGTTGGACATTCTCTCTGTCTCTCTCTTCCCCGTGTGCTCACATGTTCCAGATGTTTTTGCAAATATGATTTTGTTGTTGATGTAACAAATCAACTATCACCAAAGAACTAGGCATGGACCACCGGGGCGCGTGGAAGTTAGCTATCCACATGCCTGCCAGAACCATGAGTTGGTTTTGAGATCTTATGGATTTCAGAGTAACTGCATTTCCATCTTCTGTCCCAGGTCCTGTGGTACCGGTGAACTGAGGAAAGCTTGCCATACTTGTTGGTAACCTGGCTGATTGGGTTATCGTAAAACTTTTCTGACTTGTATTTCCTCGAAGCTGTAGGTTTCTTTGGCATTCTCTATTCATGAATCATAAAACGCACACATCTTTTATCATCAGTGTTGGCTGCAAATCATTCAGCGATGCAGCCGTTTTGAAATTGTGGAGTTTGTGGTTGCACTGGCTCTTTTTTAATATTGTGCTTGCACTGTAAACTTGGAATTTTGTGTAAATGGTAGAAGTATATTATTAGTCGGATGGGTCACAGCATTGTAATATGCAGCAGGGAGTCCAAATTTGAAGTTGATAGCACTACAAGGCGCTCCTGCGCTCCCTTCTGTCACCGCCGCCCGGTGCTTGGAGGAGCTGTGTGGATTTTAGATCCGTGGCTTGGGTGATTCTCTCGTCCTCCCTTCTTGCATCATCCGATGCTCCTTCGGGTTCTGTCCGATCCATGGTCTATGCCAACAGAGCTGGCGCATCTCATCGTGGTCGTTGTTAGTTCTGGGGGCTATCCCGTACCTCCTCCAAGCTCCCATGCTTAGGATCCTCTTGTAGACTTTGCTCTTGCATTTGGTACCTTCGTCAAGTTGCTCCCGCGGCGGGCGATGCCCTTCGTGCGTTGGATGTGTTCGTCGGTTGGCTCCGGGTTTTGGTTGGCTTGGATTCTTTGTTCGTAGTTTGGTTACGAATTACCCGGCTCGTCGGCATTCGCCAGATGGGTATGGGGCAGACCCCCTTCCTCTCTGTATCTGCGTCTCATGCTTTGCTTGAGTAATAGTAGTAGCAAGGAGATTCCCCCCAAATCATTCATGATTAAAAAAGCCCGCGACGCCGAGGCACGAGACCAACGGCTCTGTTATTCTTTGGCATATGCCGTGTGCGCACACTGCCAAAGCTCCGGACAAACGGCACGCAGCGGTAGCCGCTACGGAACAGAGAGGCCAATACCCTACACTGCCACAGTGCCACTGTTGCTCGCAGGGAAAAACCATAATAAACTAACCAAAGAACTGAACCTTGGGATCGAATCGTGCAGTGTTCTACTCCATGCCCTGTTTGCGGCTGCTGTTTCAGCTTCAAGCAGTGCTGCAGGACTCTGCTCGATCCATCTGTTCGTCGTCGCACACTCGCACAGATGAGCTCCCTCGCAGGTAAGCACTGTACTTTTCTCACCCCTCCCATGCACGTTGCTGCGTAGTAGCTACATCAGCATTGCTACAATGCTACTACAAGAGCTGGGGAATCTCACTGCGACGCAATGCTCCGTGATTTATGCTTCAGGTTCCTGGGTGACGCTGATGAACTTGTGTGGGAGCCCGGCTTGTTGCGACCAGGGTGTCCTCAGACAAGTATTCGACGCCTCCACCTGCGCGAACCACCTGGTGGAAACCGGCATCGTCGTGCCGCTCGCCCTCGCGCTCCTGCCCCGGTTCGTCGTCCGACTCCCCGAGAGCAGAGCATCCTCTGCACACCGGCGGCTTCTCAGGCCCTGTTCGCCGCTGCAGCTGGCAGCCGTGTCGTTCAATGGCTGCTTGGGGTTGTTTCACCTCGTCCTAGGACTCTGGATGCTGCTGGGGAGCAACTTCGACAACAATCCAGATGCCTCTACTTACCTGCCGCACTGGTGGTTTGTGACGCTGTCCCAGGGATTTAGCTTGCTCCTTGCCGGCTTCGCTTTCTCCGCCGGGAGCCGGTTCCTCGGGCCGGCGTTCGCTCGGTCATGGTCGGTCTTGCTGACCGTCTATGCGGCGTTCGTCTCCTGTTCCTCGGTTGTCGCCATTGTTGCGGAGAAGACGGTCACTGTTAAGGACTGCTTGGATCTCCTGTCCCCGCCAGGCGCAGTTATGTTTCTCATCTACAGCATCCAGAGCAGCCATGACGAAGAGGGACATGAAGATGAAGGATTATACAAGCCACTGAAGACTGCTGATACAGCTGACAGTGATCAATCTTCAGAGAGCACCCACCAGAAGGTGACTCCCTTTGCCAGAGCTGGTATGTTGAGCCAGATGACATTCTGGTGGCTCAACCCTCTGATGAAGACGGGCTACCAGAAGCCCCTCGACGACAAAGACATGCCGCTATTAGGCGCCGCAGACCGGGCACAGAGCCAGTACTCGATGTTCTTGGAGAAGCTGACCAACAACAAGAAGAAGCAGACGTCACATGATGGCACACCACCATCAATCCTCTGGGCTATCGCTTCTCATCACAAGTGCGGGATCATGGTCTCGGGTCTCTTCGCCCTGCTCAAGGTGCTCACCTTGTCCACAGGCCCGCTGCTTCTGAGGGCATTCATCAACCTGTCAACCGGGAAAGTGACCCCTAATTCCAAGCATGAAGGCTATATGCTGGCCACGCTCATGTTCATCTGCAAATGTTGCGAGTCGCTGTCGCAGAGGCAGTGGTACTTCCGCACGCGGAGGCTAGGGCTCCAGGTGAGGTCACTCCTCTCGGCGGCCATCTACAGGAAGCAGCAGAAGCTATCGAGCTCGGCGAAGATGGCGCACTCCTCCGGGCAGATCATGAACTACCTCACCGTCGACGCGTACCGGGTCGGGGAGTTCCCGTACTGGTTCCACCAGACATGGACGACGGTCGTCCAGCTCTGCATCGCTCTGGCGATCCTTTACAGCGCGGTCGGCGCCGCCATGGTCTCGTCCCTGGTCGTCGTCGTCATCACCGTGCTCTGCAACGCTCCGTTGGCCAAGCTGCAGCACAGGTTCCAGAGCAAGCTGATGGAGGCGACGGACGCGAGGTTGAAGGCCATGTCCGAGTCACTGGTGCACATGAAGGTGTTGAAGCTCTATGCGTGGGAAGCTCACTTCAGGAAGGCCATTGAGGAGCTGAGGGAGGTCGAGTACAGGTGGCTGTCGGCGTTCCAGCTTAGCAGGGCGTACAACAGCGTCCTCTTCTGGTCATCGCCTGTCTGGGTCTCGGCGGCGACATTTCTGACATGCTACTTTCTGGAGATCCCTCTTGATGCCAGCAACGTCTTCACCTTCATCGCTACCCTGCGCCTGGTGCAGGACCCCATTCGGGCCATACCGGAGGTTCTTGGAGTCGTGGTGCAGGCTAAGGTTGCTTTCACTCGGATAGAGAAGTTTCTAAGTGCACCTGAGCTGAATGGACGAGCTAAGGAGAAATGCTCCTCTGTGGGCATCGGTTACCCGGTAGCGATGAACTCGTGCGGGTTCTCGTGGTGCGAAGATCCATCAAAACTTAATCTGAAGGATGTAAATTTGGTGGTTAAAGCAGGGGAGAAGGTTGCCATTTGTGGAGAGGTTGGGTCAGGAAAGTCGACGCTTTTGGCTGCGATACTCGGAGAGGTCCCGAGAACTCAAGGCACGGTAATAATGCATTTTAGTAACAACTCTTCATTTTTATATCTTCAGTTGAGGACCTAGGTTTATCAAATGGAAAAGAAAAGATTTATCAGTTCATAAGGCTACGATCGATGTGACAATAAGCTTCAATCATGTGTAAAATGTTCATCAGGTTCAAGTCTGCGGGAAAATAGCATATGTGTCACAGAACGCATGGATCCAAACAGGAACCGTGCAGGAGAATATCCTCTTCGGGTGTCGTATGGACAGCCAAAGATACCAGGAAACACTCGTGAGGTGCTCGCTGGTGAAGGACCTCGAGATGTTGCCATATGGAGACGACACTCAGATCGGGGAGAGGGGAGTGAACCTCAGTGGCGGTCAGAAGCAGCGCCTTCAGCTTGCTCGTGCGCTGTACCAAGACGCAGATGTCTATCTCCTCTATGACCCTTTCAGCGCCGTCGATGCCCATACAGCAACCAGCCTCTTCAATGTAAGGGTCACCATTATCACAAGGTTTGCAGAGTGCTTAACGATTTTAGTAGCAAACTCTTGTGTAAATTAAGTTGCTATTGACTTATATGTGAGATGCAGGAATATGTCATGGGCGCTCTTTCAGACAAGACTGTTCTTTTGGTTACCCACCAAGTCGATTTTCTACCCGTCTTCGACTCCATTATGGTCTCTCTTTCACACACATATCTATAATGGTCTCTCTGTAAGTTTTTGTTCGTGTTATCATCTAAACTAGTGGCAATTTTTAACAGCTGATGTCAGACGGGGAGGTTATTCGGTCGGCACCTTATCGAGATCTATTCTCTGATTGTCAAGAATTCAAAGACCTTGTAAATGCCCATAAGGATACTATTGGGGTTTCAGATGTTGATAACAATGTTGCTCCTCACAGAGCAAACGGAACATCAACAAAGGAGAAGCATAATATCTATGGAAGTGGATACACAAAGTCTGAGAAGCCATCACCAGCACACCAACTGATCAAGGAAGAGGAAAGAGAGACAGGAGACACTGGACTTAAGCCCTACATGATTTACCTGCGCCAGAACAGAGGCTTCATGTATGCCTCTCTGTGTGTCATTTCTCACATGATCTTCATAGCGGGGCAAATAGCGCAGAACTCTTGGATGGCGGCGAATGTCCAAGATCCCCGTGTCAGTACACTGAGGCTAATCACGGTGTACATTGTTATCGGACTTTGCACGATGTTGTTTTTGCTATCAAGATGTCTATCGGTTGTTGTTCTCGGGGTCCAGACATCGAGATCCTTGTTTTCCCAGTTACTTGATTCGTTGTTCCGTGCACCGATGTCCTTTTATGATTCTACTCCTCTAGGGCGGGTCCTTAGCCGGGTAAGAATTCTTGAATAGATGGCAAATATGTTGAAATTCTGTTTCACATTCCGACGTTTTTAATGATGGGCCAGCTCTGTTTTCCCTTGTAATGCAGGTCTCTTCCGATTTGAGTACTGTCGACCTTGATGTCCCATTCGCGTTTATGTTTAGCCTTAGCGCCAGCTTGAATGGATACAGCAATCTGGGGGTATTGGCTGTTGTTACATGGCAAGTTCTATTTGTGTCAGTGCCAATGATAGTTTTGTCAGTTAGGCTACAGGTAACTGGTTTTGTTACAGTTATATTTGGCAGTAATTATTTCATTCACCAGCAGATGTATTCTGTTGCTTTTTTCATCCAAAGGTGAATTAGTCAACCGTTTTCCATTGATGGTTTCCGATGATCTGTCATGTTTTTTCCTTTTTTTGCCATGCAGAGATATTACTTAGCCTCTGCTAAGGAACTTATGCGGATCAATGGCACTACCAAGTCCGCTCTAGCAAATCACCTAGGCGAATCGATTTCAGGGGCTATAACCATAAGGGCCTTCGAGGAAGAAGATCGTTTCTTTGATAAAAATTCTGATCTTGTTGACAAGAATGCTATCCCATACTTCTACAACTTTGCAACAACAGAATGGCTGATTCAACGCCTTGAAATAATGAGTGCTGCAGTCCTTTCTTTTTCTGCATTTCTCATAGTTCTTCTTCCTCCAGGAACTTTTAGCCCTGGTGAGTAGCTTGTGCTAAGCACAAGCACCAAAAGCATTTGTTATGAAGAGATCAACATTACAATCAAGAAACTAATTACTTTTATTCCTGCAGGTTTTGTGGGAATGGCATTGTCGTATGGTCTTTCCCTAAATATGTCTTTTGTTTCCTCTATTAGAAAGCAATGCACCTTTGCGAATCAAATAATATCTGTGGAACGGGTGAACCAGTACATGGACATAAAAAGTGAAGCAGCAGAAGTCATCGAAGAAAACCGGCCGGCACTAGATTGGCCTCAAATTGGTAGTGTGGAGATTAGAGATTTGAAGGTAATGAATCAAAAATATAAATATATACATGTGTGCCTTAAGAGGTGAAAACCTTTAGGATTAATTGTAACAGATTGTGGTATAAACATTTTGTTTGTCAGATTAGGTACAGAAAGGATGGTCCCCTTGTACTGCATGGAATCAGTTGCAAGTTTGAAGGTGGAGATAAAATTGGTATAGTTGGTCGAACAGGAAGTGGGAAAACAACATTAATTGGCGCATTGTTTCGTATTGTCGAACCATCTGGAGGGAAAATAATTATTGACTCTTTGGATATCACTTCTATTGGCTTACATGACCTGCGTTCACGTTTGGGCATCATCCCACAAGATCCGACACTTTTTCAGGGCACTGTAAGATATAATCTAGATCCTCTTGGGCAATTCTCAGACCAACAAATATGGGAGGTAATATATGTAATGATACATAAATTTTTATGTTGCTTTTCTTATCTTATTCAATCATCAGACGACTTAACCATGGCAATTTAGCTCAGTTATCAAGGTAATATATATAACAGTTTCAGAAATTTCACCACGTTGTCAAACTGAATTAAGGGCATCTCAGATGACAAGTTACCATTCTCCTTTTATGTCCCTTGCACATCTTAAAAGGAATCACCATAGTTATCTTACCTTCTATTCTGTTGCAGGTTCTTGATAAATGTCAACTTCTCGAAGCTGTCCAGGAGAAAGAACAGGGATTGGATTCACTTGGTAGGAAATTCCATCTGCATATGCGCTTTAGTTTCCGGAGTTCATTTTTTCTGTTCCTAAGAAACTGCGAAAATAGCAAGCTATACCTCAGCCATTTCAAAGTTCAAAATAGGATGAACATACGCGTGCTACTCAATTTTCCGTCAGTAGTCCTAGGCGCACTAGATATATCTGTTTGCTAGCTCAATTTCTGAAACTGTGTAATGGTCCATATTACTGATCAAGATCATTGTCATACAGTCGCGGAAGACGGGTCGAACTGGAGCATGGGCCAAAGGCAGCTCTTCTGTTTGGGGCGCGCACTTTTGAGAAGGTGTCGTATCTTAGTTCTTGATGAAGCCACGGCCTCTATAGACAACGGAACAGATGTTGTTCTTCAGAAGACTATCCGAAAAGAATTCAAACAATGCACCGTTATTACAGTGGCACACCGTATACCGACAGTTATGGACTGTGACATGGTACTTGCAATGAGCGACGGTATGCTTTCCTATATCACCAACATAATAGAGCTACAGTGATTCGCTTATTGTTAGTCTTATTGAAGGGCACAAAATTAATACGGAATATAGATCATACTCGGAACTAAAATGCACTGTGGATTCTTTTTCCCTAACACTACTCAAGCTTTTTTTGGCACCAATTAGTGGATGCTAACTTCACTAGTTTCATACAGTGACCCGCCTTTTTCTGTTGTATTATCGTAGTCTTGCAAAAACATTTTTCTAAGATGGGACTACATCATATATTTCCATAGTCTGTACTAATGATGCATATAATCTTTCAGGGAAAATAATGGAGTATGACAGACCTACAAACCTAATGGAAACCGAAGGATCTTTCTTCCGTGAGCTGGTGAAGGAGTATTGGTCATACACATCAAACGGAAATATATAGGGCATTTTGTTTTGGGTCCGTCTATATTACATCTAGATGTGAGATAATATCTCACATCTAATATGACATCATCCTATATTGTGGACCCTTCCATTGACAGCTATGATCTGTTCCTTCCTCCGTTTCCAACTTTATTTCTTCACGCTGTTTGTTTGTCCTGGTTGTGTGTTTGTTTGTCAAAGACCAACCCACCCCCACCCCAGCCTACCCCAAACAGCCCTTGTGGACAAAAGGCCCTTGTTTTTTGTTTCTGTTTTTTTGTCCCCTATTTTTTCTACTTGTTGGTCACATTATTCCTCCTCCCTGCTTTTCTTTCTTTCTTTCTTGTCCTTGTTCCTGTGTGTCACACGATCTAGAGAAGCAATCCTTTGCTTTGCTCAGTCCTGGGCTGGCCCTTCTCCAGGTTTTGGAATGATGCATGGAATGGATGAAGTTTGTATATGTGTGCATATACAAGAGACAAAATAGATAGTGAGACGTGTGCTATCAGTGCATGCATGCATAGCTAGCTATCTTTCATGTACGCAATTTTTTTTTTGAAACCTTCTATATACCGATGAGACAAATGGATGGATGATAGTGTTTGGAAAACCGTATATGATAAACATGAATTATATAAAAGGAAATAAAAAATTACGAATAACACTTCAGTACATCGTGCAGGTTCAGTAGGACAATCATACCAAAGTTCAGTACAGGTTTATCATATACGGTTTCAGTTGGACATTGCGACTCCACAGCAAAACATATATATGCAACAGGATTAGCCAAAAAAATGGCTAATTCTGGTAGCTAGCCTATATACATGGCAAAAACACGTGTACCACAAAAAAAATAGAATGAAAACTTCTCTAAAACTTAGAAGGTAATACATTACTGTTGTACTTGAAAAAAAAAGTATCGACACAACATCAAACCAGGCCTTCAACTTGATGTGTCCATCCCAGGAAAATGAAGGCAGGCATCTCAACTACGAAACTACACACCCGAGTTGCGAGTCGAGGGTGGACTTACAACGAGGGCAACTACAAAACTATATGCCTGAGTTGCGAGTACATGGTTGACTTGCAACTAGGGCGATTACAAACTACATCCCTCGAGTTGCAAGATGGGGGTGGACTTGCAACTGGAATGAAAACCAAAACAACACCCCTCTCCCCGAGTTGCGAGTCAAGGGTGGACATGCAATCGGGGCAATTACAAACTACATCCCTCGAGTTGCGAGTCGGTGGTGGACTTGCAACTAGTTGATTACAAACTACATCCCTCGAGTTGCGAGTCGGCGGTGGACTTGCAACTGGGGCAATTAGAAAACTACATCCCCGAGTTGCGACTACATGGTTGACTTGCAACTGGGGGTGAAAACAAACAACACCCCTCCTCCGAGTTGCGAGTCGAGGGTGGACTTGCAACTGGATAGACAGAAACCCCTAGTTGCAGGTCGAGGGTCTAGTTGCAACTACCATGAAACAAGGAGAAA